AAAGTGCTTTCGAGTACGCGCCCATATTGTAATACATATTAGCGATGTTGTTGTATGAAGTAGCCAAATCAGGATGATGTGGAGGAAGAGTTCTTTTGAGAATTTCAAGTGCTTTTTCGTAATATGAAAGTGCTTTCAAATACTCTCCCATACTGTCATACACTCCTCCGATATTGCTGTATAAAGCTGCCAATAAAAATGGATTTAAAAGAAGAGTTATTTCTCCAATTTCAAGTGCTTTTTTGTAGAATGAAAGTGCTTTCGAGTACTCTCCCATCTTGACATATATGTTACCGATGTTATTGTATGAAATGGCCAAATCAGAATGATTTAAGGGAAGAGTTTTTTGAAAGATTTCAAGTGCTGATTCGTAATATGAAAGTGCTTTTGAGTACTCTCTCATGCTGCTATATACACTAGCGATGTTATTGTATGCATAAGCGAATTTAGGATGATTTGAAGGAAGAGTTTTTTCTGTAATTGAAAGTCCTTGCTCATAATACGAAATAGCCTTTTCATAATCACCTTGATTACAATGGACAAATGCCAGCTGATGATAATAATGCGCTTTTTCGCCCTCATCAGATGCCTGTTCGACTAATACGTTATAAAGTTCTTCAGCTTTATTAAGTTGGCCAATTTTGCACAATAAGTCACCCAGTCTTTGCCATCCAGTACCACTAGTGTCTTCCCGTATCCTATCAGTCAATATTCGTAATTGTTGATCCTCATCCGATGTTAATTGTAATTCAACTTCATAAAGTTGATCGTTACTATCTATTTGTTTAATTTCACCCACTCGAAAGACTGTATGCATTGAAAAGAGAACTTCATTTTCATCTTTATAATGACTCAGCTCTTTGATGGAAGCAAATAGTGTTGATTTAATACAAGGATTAATGGACATTATGAAAAGAATGCCAATCTTATTTGGTTCTGTTGAAGCAATTTGAGCAAAACCGAGGGACACTTCTTTATCTGTACTGGTAGACAAGAAACTGTTAAATGATATTAATCCACCTTTTGTTTTCTGAAGTTTCCCAAAGTCTGATTTCACAAGACTTTGTCCCCGATAAACTAAAAAAGGTTTTCTTTCATAACTATTGACCTGTTGTTCGTACAGTTGTTGAATTTGCTGATGTACATCGCATAGGAAGAAGCCCATATTAATGATTACATCGGCATCCAACATTCGAAGTGCTTGATTGAGCATAGAATAGAGATTCAATGGGGAAGTATACCACCAAATAGCTAATTGAGCATGATATTCTTTCTCAAGACGGTCAATATTGGTTGACGACATGCAGTCATTATGTCGACAATAAGCAGCAAAGTTTTTGATGGCTTGTTTACCATGTTCCATATTAAGGAGAATATCCTTGAATATTTGAGTATACATAAAAGTTGGCTCCAGCTGATTTAAATTATCAGTTGAAGTCAATTCATTTACGGTAACAAAACTCATAACAATTGAGTCTTGATGGTATTGTTTAATACCCAATTGAAATCCTTGGCATAAGTCATCGATGTCGGTATGAACGCTCTTGATTTTTTGCCATTTTTTCATCAATTTTTCAGATAGGATTTTAGTATCATTGAAGATATAAACACTATCCAGCTGAGGAATATCATCAATGAGGGGCATTATTTGTTCAGACATAGTATCCTTGACAATGAGAAAAGACTTGATGTCTTCTTGAGCATCTGTAAGATAGTCGATGCATGTATCTCGTTGCGTAAAGACATTGACATTGTTAGTAATGGATTTTAATTGTGCCAAAATATTTCGATAATCTTTGTTTGCTTCTACTATACAGTCATCTAACCAGAGGAGTGAATAATCTTGCATCATCCGTCTTCGCAGTTCACTGCTATTAGATATTGCGTCCATTTCGTGTATTATGCGACAATAAAGCGGCAATTGTATGAGTATTTGGATTGAATAAATGATGGTCAAGAAGATGAATAAACTTTATTATATATATGGAGATCATATCTCTTTATCTTAATGTTTTTATGACGTCATTGATTATTTTCTTTTATTTTTTTTTGATGAATCATAATAGAACTTTGTCCTCTGTATCATTTCATGTGAGTTATAGAGCCAGGTGACTACAAAAAACAGCGAAAAAAAAGAATTCATTTTTCCAACTTTCTTCAAAGATAAGATATAATATCGTCACTAGAAAAAAAACACGTATCTACTTTGTAAATAATGCACGTCAAAAGTCTCGCAGCATTTTTTTTGTTTTTAAATCGTATATTGAAATTTCACAAGGATACAAATCCAATAATAGGTTTTTCTAATGGACGATTACGAAAATCTACTAGATCTTGTAGACATGTTATCAGTAAAAAAAATAAGTAATAACTAATATTAAACTTGTTGTTCGATAAATTAACAAATTATTCAATATTAGGGTTATAATATTAACTAGCAGAAACACCCGCCGTTGCCAGAAAAACTGAGAATATGAATGCAGTTGACATATAATGATCACGAAAAGGACAATTGCTCGCAAATCATATAGTTATATAGAAGAAAAAACAAAACTTCTGTACTACTTCAAGGGTCTTTTAAAGTTATCTTCAAAATATTTTTTAGCTTTTTCAAATTTATCATAGATGTGTACTGCAGAAGCACTAACTTAAAAATTACTAGATATGAGTTTATCCAAAATAAAAATTTAAATACTCCGCAGTACTTTGTCACATTTTATAATTTGAAGTATGATAAAGTACAGTGAAGTACGGAAATTTGGCTTTCTTCTGTTTACATAGCTATATAATAGTAATGAGTAGCTGCAGAAAGTGTAAACGGAAGACTCTTACATTTATTCTGACTCTCACTCTGCTGCTGGGTGGCTGATTACTAAAGCAAAAAAAAAAGAATTCTTGAACAAACAACTAAAAGATCTGGTTTTATACGCACATACAGTCACAAAGAACTGTTTAAAATATTACTGCAGGAGAAACTGAAATTTTAACTTTTCCTAGAACAATTTTGAATTATCCTACATTGTAATTTCTTCTGCAACATAACACAGCGAGATAGTTTCTGCGAGCAACTGTCCTAAATCCGACTTCTTTACACAATAATATTAAAATAGTAATTCAGTAGAAAAAGAAAACGAGCAAGACATGATTCAATAAGTTGTCACTTGCGAGTGAAAAACAAAAATAGTATTAGCGTTCAGAAACAAATCTGATTTGAGAAGAAAATATTTTGATTATTCATTAATTAGTTGATTATGACACATCAAATGTGATTATATGATGACAGCAAAAGGATCGACTAAGAATAGTTAGATGTCGAAAATGCTTGACATTGGATAATAGAACTAAGCAATACAAAATGTGAACAAGAGCTTACCCAAACGATGAGTATAACCCTTTCTTATCTTCCAAAGCCAAAGGTTTTCCATATCATATTTTATACATACATTTTTTGTTGACGAAAACAATTTTTTCTCGAAAATTTAAAAAACATATAACAGACAGGAATGGGACTTTGTTACTAAGTACCCGAGATGTAAATATTTGGGAACATAAGATAGTACCTGAGCTTGAAGCAGCACGAAAAGGTAAAATCAGAAGGAAAGAAATTTGATGTGTACGTCAAAAAAGTAAAGAAGAACTGCATTAACAAAGATGCCTTTTATTAAAATCTTTTTGATTCTGAAGTATCTTTCAGTTACAATCGATAGTATATATTTTTAATAACAAAATTATTGAGATTAATACTAAAATGTTTTGAAAACAATATACTCTATTGTTATATATATATAAGAAACGAAATGATTTTTTTTTTCTGGACAGCATTAAATATCCAATCCAAGTTCTCTGTCTATTGAATTCTATAGAAAAAATATTAAAGAAAAATTTTACAGCAAGCAAAACTATATTATTGAAGCAATGTTTATAAATCATTAAATAAAGGTCGTAGAAAGTACCATATGAATGTATATTCTTCATGATAACAACCTTGGATAATAATTATCTCAAACCTTTCGTAGATTTAAACCAGTGCCATAGCAGATCTTAGGATACACGTTTTTTCGTAGCTTGAGCATGTTTACAAAATATTTTCTCTCATAATTCATTTATAAAAAGTATTGGATAGAAAACTAAATAAGTAATATAATTAACAACACTAAAATATATTTTCTTTTCGTTTTAACCATCTCGAAATGTGAAAAAAAACATTATTGATTTACTCATGATTTTTCCATCTCACGTTACAACCATTATTTTCTGATTTTTCTGTTCGCGAACTCATCGTGATCCAAATTAAATCACAACTTTTTAATGCGTACATCGAGAAATAAGAAAAAAAAGAAAGAAAACTCGTGAGGGACTACATAAACACTTTGTTTAGCTTTACATCATATTTTAAAATCAGATGACTAATTAACAAGAAATATTAGTTTTTTCAATCATCGAATATTCAACCATAATCTGTTTTTTCTTCAGGCCCATTCCTGTAATGGATTATTAACCTTTTCAATCAATCTTAATTCATATTTAAAAAAAAGTAGACAGTTTTGATGATTCTAATAAATTGTTTTTCAATGAATGTAACAAATGACCTTTTGGTTGGAATTTATTTTTTTTGTTTTTACAATCTTTCAATTAACTAAATCGTAAAACATGAACCATCTGGTAAATTTTGATTGACTATCGATATTGATACATATTCAAAAAATATCATTTCATACTAAATATAACAATGAGTTCATTCTTTTTTTGTTTTTTAAATAATTAACCAAATAAAGTCGTTTCGTATTCTTGTTTGATGTCGTATGACAAAAAGCAAACGAACTTTTATATTGTCACGATAAATTAATATGAAGTCAATCAACATCTGCTTGTCTACTTTCATAGTCTTTTAGAAGAGAAAAATACACATATGTACTTCGTTATCGCCAATGGTCATCTTTCCGTTCGGAAGCCAGATGATGTCGATAGAAAATTGATCTCCCATTGAAATTCTACCTATACACAAATATAAGAAAGAATAAGATGTGACCATGCTGAGAAATCACTTTTATAAATGGTCCAATGATTCAAATATTGATCAAGTAAGAAGAAGAACTACTAATTGATGAAATTGTATGAATGTATTTGTTTGTTCGAAGGACAGTTGACACCTCTGTGAATAGGTCACAAATGTTCATAGCGATACACACACAGCAGGATACTTGTTTCTCTAATGACTGTCAATTAGTATGCGACACTTTTAAAAATGAACCAAATGTCAGCCAAGCAATACTCTACGCACGAGTGATTGAATATATACATACATTATGGATTTTATCTGTATAAATGTAAGTGCGTATATATATATATATGCTTGAGACACTCCCTCTATGACAAAAAAAAGTGCCATCCATGACAGATTCAGTGAATAAGATCAAAAAGAATATGATGAAGCAGATGTGTCTGTGTCTTTGACTCATTGTTCTAATTAAAAATTGTTCAATGAATAGCCATGAGAATTTTTATCTCTTTAAAATTGTTTGACTCATCATTATTTTCATTGTCGGCTGATTTATGATCATTTTAAATACACAAGAAGAAGAAGAAAAAAGATCTCATATATGCGTGTAATTGAATGAACATACGTTGCCTTCCGTTCACACTTTTGAAACGTGTCATTTCAGTCACCTACTGAGTGAATAAAGCTCCTGAAGGCATCAAACAGTGTGTAAATCCGGCACGGTACATTACAATTCTTTTAATTAGAATAAGACAAAAAAGTCACGGGTCAACTCTCTAATTGCTGACCTTTTTTCTCTATCGATCTTTTCTTGACAATGTTTATTTAGATTCAATCAATTGTTGTGTTATGCTATTACATCATCAGTAAACCTTTTTATTTCTGTCCACCATATAATGAAATCAAAGCATGGATTAACATGACCTTTTATTTCTTTTTTTTTTGCTAGATAAGCAAAGATATACATACACACACATACATACACACACACAGATACACACAGACACATACAGATACAATCACCACAACACAAAATGAACTATACATATACATTCTATTATGTAGATGTGTCCCCTATACAAAATCTCTCACTGTCTAATACTGTCATAAAGACGAAGAAAAAAAGTTTGTTCTTTATACGACCACTTCGTAGACAGTTTTCTTGCTTTGATAATGAGTTTTTGATGGTGTTGAATAACCACTTTCAGCACTATCTTCCTTTACGTGTTTATTTGAGACAATTTCATGTATATTTTGTGATGCTGTTGTATAAAATGGAAAACCATAACTGCCATATTGTGATTGTGTCCAAAGTAAATCATTTTGTGCAGTTGATAATGGTAAATCATTTGGATTTGTATATGATTTATAGGATAGATCTGTTGGATTTGTTGATGGATAAAAATCTGTAACTGTTAACTGATCACTGCCTGATAACGACGATGAGTTTGGATTTGATAATAATATTGGATCACTTGAACCACTCGTACTACTTGAACAATGTCCGTTTGTAGCATTTGTTGTTGCTGCCGCTGTTGATGATGTTGTTGTCACAATTAATCGATTTGTTTGTTTATCTTTAAATTGATCGAGTTTTTGAATTTCAGCTATTTTAGAAAATGACGAATGTAATTGTTGTTCCGGATATGAAAATAATTTTGTTGGACTATGAATAGATTCAATGACTATTGGAGGTTTTTTAATTGATGACGTAACTAAAAAATAAATAATAAGATTTACAAGAAAAAGAAAAGATTGATCTTCTTACGCATATTATGATTATGATTTCGCCGTCGTTTATGATTTTGTATCAGACAAAATATACAAAGACCACATAGGATAAGAAAAAAAACAACAATAATCGAAGCAATTAAAATAAATATCCAATTAAATGCAATTTCTCGTTCTAAAGGAAAAAAGAACATGTATATATATATATACGTATATGTCATATTCATACTTGTCTCAACTGGAATAACTTGTCCACAATAATCTTCATATTGATCAAGACATATTGATACATTATGAACATTTAATAAATCATTTTTATCTAATTTAATAATTCCACTTGATGTTACAATACGTTCACAAATATTTGATCGATTAAAAATATCAATTCGAATGCATAATGGAACTTTTAAAGACAGAAAACTTAAATTATTTAAACGATAATCAAGTGTATCATCAGAAAAATGTATTGTTGAATATTCAATTTGTGGTAATTCTATAGATTAAGAAAAAAATGTTATTTTAATTTATTTTTTTTTCTTCTATAACAAACCTTCTTTTTCTATTGGCACATTTTTAGTTTGTACACTTATTGATGTCGTATTTCGACTTTGACCTAAACGATTTTGTGCTCGAATTGTAATATTATATATTTGTGAATGTTGAAGATCTATTTATTTACAAAAACAAATGATTTATATAGAAAACGAAAAGAAAAGTAACTTACTTATAAATGCATAATAACTTTCATTTGTTTCTTTCCATAATGAGTTATTAAGTGAAACCCAATAAGATTGTGGCCAACCTCCATCGAAACCTGCTTGCCATTGTAAACTAATCGATGAATATGTTATACTCGTTATATTAACATTTGTTGGTGTTTCAGGTACATCTAAATGAGAAAATATAACTTAAAAGGTTTCTCATTAACGAACAACTGGTACATTATGATTGATGATCAATATAATGTTTGAACTTCTTCTCGATCAATATTGTTTCAAAGCAAACAATAGAAGAACAAGAAGAAAAAAAACGAATAACTGCTGTTTTTAAGTTACCTTTTGATCTTAATTGTATAGTTGTTGAATTTTGTCCTAGTTTATTCGATGCATTGCATGTATAAAGACCATAATCGAAATTTGATTGTAATTGTTGAATTATTAAATATGAAGATGTTTTATTTTGTAGAATAGAATATTTATTTGATTGAAATAATTGTCGATTATTATATGTCCATATAATAGTTGAATCAGGATATGAATCAATTTGACAATGAAGTTTTGTATTTAATGTAAATGGATCCGATGCAATAATTGGTGTTAATGTATTAACAATTGGTGCATCTTAATATTTAAATAAAAAAACATATGTGTTAACATAATCAGTATGAGAAAGAAGAAGAAATGTTTCACTTAATGATGACCTTTGCCCCCTCCCCCTCATCTTGGTCACCCAACAGACATCGAAAAATCGGTTTTCGATGTTTTTTTGACCTTGCAGACGTTCAATCAAGCAAACAATTTATTTCTACTGGACTCTTCTCTACGAGAAAGAGAATAACTTACATTCAATTGTGACACGTGTTTGTGTTTTATCAAATTTTTCAATTGTACTTCCATTGGAATATTTCAAAGTATTTTTTGCTAGACATGTATAAATTCCTGCATCGTATTTCGATACTTTATCAATAATTAAGGATGATGTTAATGAACTAATATTTAATTTCATATCATCTTTAAACCATTGATAAGAATCAACTGTTGGAAATGCATCAACAATACATGTTAATACTAAACGTGTATTTTCAGATAGAATACCACCACCATTTAATCGAACAATTGGTGCATCTAGAAGAAAAATAATAATATTATTTTTTGTTTCTTTGATTTCATAGATCTATTTATTTTACATTGAACACGAATATGAACCGATGCTTGACTATGACCAATTAGATTTGATGTCATACATGTATATTCTCCTTCGTCATTTCTTTTGATTGTTTGTAATGTAAGTGACGGTGAATTAATACCTAAATATTGATTTAAATGTTTTTTGAGAAAAAAAAACAAAAAAAATTTCGAACCAGTCATAGATGCTCCATTTTTTAACCATGTTATTGGTTCAATTGTTGATGGATTTGATTGAATTTGACAATCAAGTGTTAATCGATCATTTTCAATCACAAGTAAATTAAGATTTGTGACAATTGTTTGACCATGACGAATATTTATTTCAGGTTTATCTTAAAAATATAAAATATTTTTTTCGAAAAAAAATGAAATTTTAACTTACATTGAATATTTAATTTACGTGAAGTAGTTAATGGATTATCTAATGCTTGATTATTTACTTGACATATTAATTGTTGATTATGAAAACGTTTCTCTAATGGTAAACGCAATTCACTTGTATTAGGTGAAACCGTATATAATGATCCATTTATTGGCATTTGATTAATTAACCAAGTAAATGTTGGTAATGGATTACCTCCTTCTGTTGAACAAATAAATAATGCCAAACTATCTTCAACTAAAGTCTCATTTGACTGATATAATTCCGGTTTTGTTGGACGTGCTAATAATAATAAAACAGCATGATAGAAAGATCATTATTCATTTGATATATGTATACATATGGATTAGTCTTATCTATATGTTCATTCTATTTCTTCTTCTTCTTCATCTAGCGATTTTTTTTATTTTCTTTTTTTTTTAGTTTTTGTTCCCTAGATAATGATGTACATGTTTACTTCAAAGAATAG